AAGCAATTCATTGAATATGTTCATACACAACAATGGGTATAGCAAAAAATGCAAAAATACTAAAATTTTATTAGAGTGCTCATAAAGTATGATTTAACTTTGACATTGTGATAATGTAAACCATGTAGTTTAGATAAAAATTTCTAATACTTAAGAAATGGTACTGCATATCAGATAAACCAACTTGTCAAAATGTATACAAAGCCATGCTCCTCTGGGCCATTCTGGACTCTTGCCTTGGGTTAAAAGTTTTATGTTTTGTTAGTGTGAGTCAATTTTCCTCATTTTGGCATTACACATATCACAATCTTTGGTTTTGGCTATGTTACAAGACATGCCAGACTATGATTCTGAAGGCAAAAATGTGAGCTTTACAATCAAGAGGACTTCACAGGTGCAGACTCTTTATCTGATGAGGATGTGGCCTCTCCTGCAACAGCTAAGGCTCCCTTTTGAAAAATGCATCAGGACAGAAGCAGTGCTTTGATTGAGGAAGAGCATGATCAGGCTACATCAGATGAGGACAGAAACTCTCCTTGTAGCAAGAAACGCAAGGCTGCTGATATGGACACCAGAACACACAGACGGCAAGAGATGGCAGTGTATGGATCCGTCGAAAAGTTGAGGACTTCATCTCTCCTCAAACCTCACAGATGCCATTAAACTGGACTTGAGTCCCAACTAAGTTTCCAAAACGCAAAATCCCAAGTCCCTTCAAAGCTGCCTCTGTTTGGTGGATATCAGTATGCTGTTCACCATGAGAGATCTCAAAGTCCAGCAGAAATGCAGAACAGAACCAGGCTGGATAATTAATGTGTGTGCTAATGGCCTTCATTGCAGTTCTTTTTATAAAGGCAGCAAAGGGGAGTGTTTGCACAATGTGTGACTTTTGGTCCATAGACTTTGATAATTCACATGTCAAAGCCACAATGGCTGAAGATGTAATGAAATATCTGTGCTACGACAACAAAGACACTCATGTGGAAAATGTAAAAAAAAAACAGACAATTTAGCTGCAATTTCAATCATCGCGCAACAGTTTGTATAGAACTGTGTGCTTTGTTGTCATTTTCTGCAATAGAAGCCTGATAAATTTGGAATTAAATTTTTGAACCAGAATTGGATACAAAATAAATGTGCAAAGCAATCCCTTACTTGGGAAAAGATTCCTCCAGCACCACAGGAGAAAGGCTGTCTGAGAATATTGTTTTGAAATTGATGGAGCAATTTATGGACCAGAAAAGATTGTAATTTTAGACAATTTCTTCACATCTCTCTCTCTCAGACTATATAGAATATGTTATAGTATATTGTCTGGCTTAATTTTTTTCCTTGATGCAACAGAAATCTGCTTAACACCCTAAGCAAAGATCATCAGCAGCTACCAGCAAAACAAACTTCAGGATGCCGGCTGTACTCTACACAATTGTTCACAGGTGGATTGCTGACAGTTTATACAACAAAAAATAAGAAATATGTTTGTCTGCGTAGCACTATGCACCAGAGAGTGGAGATTGGAGACACTGAAAAACAAAAACCACTGTTATTGACTATAACCACTTGAAATGCAGTGTGGACATTATGGAAATTACGGACCTAATCAGTGTGCTGAAACATGGAGATGAGCCATGACTGTCTTGTACAACCTGCTTCCTATACAAGGGATGCACAGGGTCCAAAGAAAGTCTGGAAAAGTTCATACTGTGACTTGCAAATGAACCATAATGGGTTTATGGAGGAAAAGGCACAGCAAGAAAAAAACATGACTCAGCATCATGAGATCACAAGATTTCCTAAAGGAAAAACAACTTAAAACCAGATGCAAAAGCTGGGCAACAACAAACCATAGCACCAAGTGCATTTAGCAAAGTATACTGGACCTGTCAAAAATAAAGGAAGGGTTCACCTTTGGTTTTGCAGTAATTGTTAAATAGGACAAATGTAGGCTAACATAGTATGCTGTACAGACTGTTGTCTATATTTGTATCAGCACACATAACTTAGACAATTTATGTGACATCTTTGGGTTTCATACATAGTGCCTTTCATTGTGTGAAATAAATTTTATTCTTATATTGAAATCATTCTATTTGTAGATCATTTTAGAATCTGAAATAGTGAACAATAAGATAAGATACAATTTGTTTATTCCTTAAGTTGTTGTTTCTTTAACAATATGAGCTTTGCAGCATAGTTTCTCATTGACAAATTGGTGAATTCCATATATAATATAAATACGCTCTGCCTTGTCTTGTTGGCAAAGCATGGCTATTACATTTATTTCAGCTGCTTGTTCAACAGGTTTGTCTGTATAAAATATTGAGATATAACATCAATATATTTGTGTCACTGCAAATGTGTATAATGTTGCAGGGGCAAGTAATGAAGTTGCTTGAAAGAACATGTTCTTTCTGATGCTTGATTCAGCCATTCTCCAATCTCAGCATCAGAGGTTATTTGCATTACAATAGTGAGAGTTATCAAGGTGGATAAATTAAATTTTGCAGGAAAACCTGAAGCTCCTGGGACTTGCAGTGAGTTTGAAAGCTTAAAGAAATAAAACTAAACAGGTTTTCCATACTTCAATAAGCCCCCCCTGCTATTTTTTACCCTATGACCATGTTTTTCTCACTTTCTTTGTAAATTAATGTTTAAGTGGATAAGTTTGTCATCCAAGCTTAGCTAAAACATTTATCTCTAAACCCATCATCAAATGTTCTTGTCATAAAATTGTTCAACATAATAGTTTCAAACTTAATTGCATCTGCACAAGTCAAATCTAAGGCACATTTTGAATAATTATAAATTAATTCCCAGCAATGTTTTTACTCTGCTCTCTCTCAGATGGTTACACCACTGATGATATTGAGTTTTACTGGCGAGGAGGACATAATGCTGTGACAGGGGTGGACAAGATTGAACTTCCCCAATTTTCCATTGTGGATCATAAGCTCATCTCCAAGAATGTTGTCTTCTCTACAGGTAATTTCATAAACATGATTCACGTTATTTAATTCTATAAAACAAAAAAGTATATATATATTTGTTTTAAGTTGCAACTGTTGCCTTACTAAGACACTCAAATAAATTTCTTGAACTAAAAATTGTTATGCATATACTCTAAATGTAGCACCCTACTGAAAGACAAAAAAGATGTATTCACCAGATGTAAAACAACCTAGAAAAAAAAAACAAATTAGGAGAAATGTAAAAGTTTTCTTTATTTCCATATATATAAAATGTCTGAGAAGTTTAGCTTATTCTGAATCACAATAAGCGTAGTGTTAGGTGCAGGTGTATAGCAAATTAGATTAATTGCATTTGCTATACAATCGTAATTTAACAAAACACACTTTTCAAATTTTGGTCACATTACATTTAACAGGAGTAAGGCACATTTGTTTCACTACAGCCCTTTAGGTGGTGTCAATATGCTTTAAGTACTTTTCGAGGCAACACTGGACTGTGGACAAGCAAGCTTTCAAGGTAATGCAAATGATGAAACCCTGGAATGAAACATGTATATGCAAACAGTTAGTGCGGATAAAAATATCAATCACATTAAGTCAGGGTCATGTCCTTTTAGCTTTCTTTTTAGTTTAACTGTGATTTTGTGTCTTTTTAGTGGTTTTCTGCCAGTCTTGTGTTTCTGTGTTACACTCTGCTGCCCCCTTGAGCCAGTTTCCTTTCCCCTTTGGCTCCTTTCTCACTTCTTCTGTGCACACATGCTCCCAATAGGGGGTTTTCAGTGACGTCACTGGCCAGCT